TGAAATCAAGGACTTTGTTACTACCAATATCCCACTGGCCAACACAAAGGTGTTGGGACCACAATGACAGTATTGCCAGCAGCAGAACGCTGTTTGCTCTCCTTATTGTGTAATTTATTTTCTGTTCCCCACACATTATTTTTTTAGAATTTTGTTATTTTATCATTACTATCATTGTTATATCACTTCACTGTATTTTTGTTGGAGACTTTGGACTTTGACTTACTGTATGTGAAACAATTTTAGATGTAAGTTAATGTTTCCTAGTGGCCAGTTTTCAGGTGGAAGTGATTTTCATTCCTAGATCCTACTGTACATACAATATATCCCTTTTTTACAAAAGCTTGTACATTGCATCAAGGTTATCATAACCTCTGCCATAATAATTTGGTAATCCTCGGACATCCACAGCTAATGGCATTGTTTGGTTATCTTAGATTGAGCATAGCCTACTGTATCCCCTTTCTGATGTAAAGCATGTCTTCTTTGTTTGTTTGAGAGGTGCACAAATTCAATGAAGAATCATGCCTCAGACAATATCTTGTTTCTGCTGAATTAGATGCAGATTCTTCTACTTTTTACCATTTTTTTTTATTTTGAACCAATTTATTAATAGATATTACTTCAGATAAAATCATTCAGTGACAGTTCAAACCAAACCATTGCTTTCACAATTTTTGTACTGCTCTTAGTGTGTCTGGTGTGTAAAGGGTAGGGTGTTTTGATAGATATTGAGTACACAACAAAGAGAAGAAATCATTAAACATTAGAAAATCATTTTCATTAGAAAATGCAGTTTTGTGTGTTTTATAAAAATGTAAAAACTCACTGTGGACTGCATTCCAGCACCTCATTGCAGTGAATTCTCTTGCTAAAGGACAAGGAACCTAAGGGAATATTTAAACAGTTTCTCACTTTGTTCTAGTAGTATAGCAGTATGGTTATGGAACTGTGCAAAGAGATAAAGGAGTCTTATCTCATTCAATGGTTACTATTAAATATTGTGCTCACCTTAGATAGCATACAGAAGACACATACACTAGGGGATGGCATGTTAAACTATAAAGCACAAAGACTTATAAAACCTGTTAGTTTCTTTTTCCCTCATTCTGGTATGTAATTAAAAGCTAACACCCTGCCAGTGACCTTTTGGGTTATCGACTCTGTTCATATGTGCATGAACATTCATTCAAGAGATTACTTGTTACCAAATAGAGTGAAGGAAATGCATCACTCATAGTAAAATTTGTAGGGTGTATTACAAGACACTTACAAGCAATATTGATTCATACTTCTCTGCACAGACCACAGTAAAACCCCTACTTCCAGCAGCCAGGGGACAGCTGTAGAGAAAACAATATCCACTGGAAGTCACACTGCAAAATCTGATCACTGGTGACATCATGGAAGCATCTTCATAAGATCAATAAAATGCAGCCCACCAGCTTGTGTTCTCATGTGTACAAAACATAATTCAATGTGCAATGCTGTGCTGCAGTAAGTACAGTATTATACAATTCGGTAACATTTGTGATATTATCACTCATGGTGCTCTGTTGTACAGTATATTATGGTTGTTATTATTTTTGTGGTTGTATATCAGTGCTAAAATAACATTAAATACGCTTACAAAACATTATTTAGACATTGTCTACTGTCTTAAAGCTATTTTCCAAAAAACGAAAGAGTTACACAAAATTCCTAAATACCACTCTTGATCTCAATGCATTTTTATAATTCAGGGTATGACCAGTAAAAACATTGATTTAAAGAGATTGTCTATCCTGGAGTAGCGGTTAAAGATTATTTTAGCCTGGCGTGTAGTCCAGGATGGAATCATTTTTAACATCACTAAAAGCTTCACCAACAACCTAAATTCTATCTTGAGAGAAGGTAAATATGATTGACCCAGAAGACTTTTCTTATTCATGATCTCTTTTTGTTTCTAGAGCAAAGCATGATGATGTAGAAGTCATACTGATATGGCTATTAATAATTTGTATATGTCATGTAAATTTTTAAAGTAGTCACAGTCCTTATGGACTATTTTTTCCTTAATGCTACTACTATGGGGAATATATTTTCTCTAAATAATATCTGTTTGTTTAAGTTAAATGTGCACATTTCACCACTTGCATCACCCTGAGTGATTATAAATTGAATCCTTAAAAAAACTGCATAAAAATCCTTGATTGTAAAACATGAAATTAGGAAGCAGGATCTTCCAAGCTCAGTATGTTCTTTATTTCTTTGTTGGCATGACTGTCAAAAGGAATGCACAAGGTATTTTTTTATGCTCCAAGTGGTGAGGCAGTAAATCAGTGGATTTTATTTCACAACGACAATCCAGATATTCTTATTAATGCAAAGGTAAAGGCCTGTACTGTATTATCATGATGCAATACCCTGCAATTACTGTTGATGTTATTAGTTTTATAATTAAAGAGCTCTGCACTATTACATAGAGCACCTCAAGCATGACAGAATTATCAATTTTCCGAATAAAAAATCCAATCTGTGTCAAAACAGGGAAAACAAAAGTATGCTTTGAAACAAAATATAGGAGCACAATAGCATGCTTAATATTGTTTGCAAAAAACAATGATTTTGGAAAATATTTGTTATCATTTATTTTAAAAATTGTGCTGTTCCAGTTCAAAAACACTGTTCCACATTCAGACAGATGGATCCCACACAGACTGCTGGGTGTTTTAATTGCCTGTAAACCCCTTGTTCCTGTATGATAATATTATTATTCTATAATAATAATTATAGAACCTTTGACTACCATCACCTTATACTGTAGTTTGCAAAGGTGCTCATGTCACTGAGAGCCTTATTATTATTGCTAATGGTAGAGCTAATAAATGAGCAGACAGTCCCTGGAGCCTCTGGGGTGAAGGGGGGAGACAATCACAGTCACACCTTGGGAGCAGTTCATGCTTCATGAGAACAGTCCAGCTCTGGGCACAGCGGGGTCCTAATCTCTTTTCTGCTGTGCAGCAGCCAGGCCTCCACAGGCCTCTACAGCCTGCCTGTAAGTGTGGCTGGAACCAGGGGCTCCACAACAACTCCGAGGGCTGCAGGAGGCAGGAAGAAGCTGCACAAGGACTGGGTGGACTGGGACACTTTGTCCTGTGTGCCCAGGTATCATGGGGAAATTTCAGGCTCCTAAGAGCATTCGGTAATGTCCAGGTTCGTGGACTAGGAGAACAGAGACCTTGGTTTTCAGATCAAGATGCAAGTCTGTATCGGAGCTGAAGAAAAAATCGTCAGGAGGCTCCATGTTGATTTGCTTCGCCACGGGTAAAGGCAGCAAAGGTCCATGGTCTTGTTGGGTTTTGGAAGAGCCCTGCAGACATCCTGGCACGATGACACGATGGCATTCCACTGGAGCAGGGTGTGTGGTGTTACCCCCTTTATCAAATATCTCTCGCATGTGCAAGGTTTCTGAGACAATCCCACCTAGCCAGCTACTATAGGTGGAAAAAGAGGGTTCCTTACCTTCGAACACTGATCTGTCTGCAAGTGTTTATGTCAGTGTTTGTCTGCAAGGGGAATCTGCTGTTCATGATGTTATTATCTTGATTAAGGAGATATGTGTTTAGATTACTGAACAAAACAATATCTCACGTTTGCTATGCCTGCTCTTACCGGGCTTGGTTTTCTGTTATTTGATCTTCAATAAATCTGCACATACTGCACTTAGATCGAATGGCTGCAGGCATTATTCATCCTAGAAATCGCCACCGACCTTTCACGTGTCCTGGGGCTTGACCAGCTCTCCTACATACTGTAAACGGCAGAGCAGACTGGCTGGACAGCTCCTTTAGAGTTACTTGAAGGAGACAAAAATGTTCTTTAGAGTGACCTGCTTCTATAATAGATTATAATAAAACACAGATGCCTCCGTTTTAATTTGTTGTTTTGTTTTTGGTTCATATAGCAAAACATGGACTAGTGTCGTCGCTTCCTTTCTTAGCTCTCACGTTTCTGTACAGCTGACTGACTGCTCCCTGCCTGCAATCTCTGCTTATTTAACACCCAAGAGGCGAACAGTAAGTGAGCGTAGAGAGTCGAGCCGGAGAGGAAATTCCATAACTGCTGAATCCAAAATTGTGCAGCCTTCTCTTCCTCCTCCTCCTCCTCCTCGCATCTGCTAGAAATGTTAAAATTCTAATTATTTAGAAAAACTAAATCGTGCTCATAATTAACTGGATTTAAAGTGGTTATGGAGAAGTATCATTCTGAACGGCGCCGATGTACAATAGTTTATTACTTTCGTATAGTCTTCACTCGGGTCAGTTCGTGGATAGAAGCTCTATATCGGTAGAAATATTATTTAGAAGAATAGAATTATAATACAAATCGTATTATTAACAAGTCTCATCGTGTCATTTTATGTATGATTCGTATGGGTTCCAGTTCTTATGAAACCGAATTCTACAATCAGCTTCACAAGAAACAGTCTAACATCCCTGTTCTGTATTTCATCAAGATCTATAATTGTAAAGTAATACTTTAAACATTAGAATCTCCGATGATACAGTATGTATATACTGTTCATCTGAAGGCAACTTGAGAACTGCCTAAAAAAAATATGTAAATACAAAATGAGGCATAGCAGTCGCTGCACAGTTTGTTTCACTGCCCTTTAAAAATGATTCGGCAGTTAGACAAAAAATTGTTAAGATAATGTTCATCATTTTGTTATTTGTTCGGATACAAACATTCATATTTTAGAACTGGAAGAGACGTACACTACGTAAACCGATGAGCGGTAGTGACGATGATTACGTTCACTTTTCTAAGTGTTATTTAGTTAAGAGTGTTTACGCAGCGATTTGTATTTAAATGCTTCGAGTATTTTCAGAAATATTGGTACTGGTGGTACGTATAGAGATTTCTTGAAAAAGGGTCCAGGTGATAGAGATTAAAAGGTCCTTCCACCTCCTAGTGTTCAGTATCAGGATTGTTCAGTAAAAGCCATCACCCAACTTCTGGATTCTAAGTCTCCTGAAAGGTAGAAGTCGGTGCATTTACATCTCCAATAATAATGTTTAAATTAAAGAACAGAAATAATTTATCGAATGGATTCGACATTGCCGAATTTTCATATTACATTATGTGCATCCCAAGCACTGAGTTTTTAAATCGGGAAAGTGCGATTTAACAGGATCTGAATGGCCACTAATGCAACTGAGAACCTTTCTGTTAATCTCTAACAAACCGATTGTTTATCTGCAAAAGACGATACTCCCCGTTTTTGTCCTTTATTGACCAATTTAGATGGACAAAACGACTTCTCACGTTTCTTAAAATGGCACTGATATGCTTAAAAAGAGAAGTCTTGTCATTTTTACAAATCGAAGACAATGTAGTTTGGATTTAGGGCACAAAGGCACTAGTGAGAAAATGACAGTTAAAAACGCGATTCAGTTCTTACAGATAAATTCTGTTCTCCCCAGCAAAACAGAATCTGCTCATCAGTTCGTGTGACGTAGAGTTCCCAAGCCCGGACTGAAGGAGGATGCAAACTAACCCAAACTAAGCACACACAGCACAGTCACTGTGGGAGTGAATAAACCCGCACAAGAGAATTCTAGCTTGCGTTAAACCCGCTGTTTCTGAGCTCCAATATTACTTTCCAGTTTGATTGTCTTTCACCTCGTACTCCATGCGACTTGATCATACAAATACCTTGGAGTGCTTATAGTTTCTATTTGACGCAAGATGAAAAACTCCGGGATCAAGAAAATGAAGCAATATCTGGGCTCCCCGTTCAGTGAGTATCTCCCTGTTACTACTAGTGATTTCAACGGAGATGCTTAAACCTGCTGCATGAATTTTCTTCCTTTTCCATGGGGATAGATTTATCGAGGTATTCCCAGACTCAAAAACACAATGTTTCTAGTGAACTAGCACACAGAATGTGCTCTGATTGCCTTCATACATCACTTGCCTTTTGGACTGGAAAGACGGTCGTTGGAGAGTCCTGCGCTTTTGCGAGCTTTGTTCAGATTTTGTTTTAAAATTGTGCGTGGTTTTATATCTATACAAAAATCCCATTTTAAAGGGTCTAACAGCGTTGATGCTAGAGCTTTCGGCTACACTGTAAAAATGCTGAACAGCGTTTTGTTGCTAAGCGTTTTAGCGGTGACCAGTTTCTCTTCGAAGACAGAAAGCCGTAAAACTTCCAAAGACCTTTGTAAGAATCGCTGCTTGTGCGAGGAGAAGGAGAGCGTTCTGAATATTAATTGTGAAAACAAAGGATTAACAGCGGTCAACCAGTTCCAGCCGCCGCAAAATAGAATATGTCAACTCTTTCTGAATGGAAACTTCCTATCCAGGCTTATTCCAAACGAGTTTCTGAATTACGGCAATGTTACCACTCTTCATCTGGGGAACAACGGGTTACAGGAGATTAAAACAGGGGCTTTCATAGGGCTGAAAATTTTAAAACGACTGTATCTTAACAATAATAATCTGGAGATTATTAAAGAAGATACCTTTATTGGTTTAGAAAGTTTGGAATATTTGCAAGCAGATTATAACTACATCAGTGCTATAGAGGCAGGGGCATTTAGTAAACTGAATAAATTGAAAGTCCTGATTCTAAATGACAACCTTTTGCCATCCCTGCCCGGCAATGTCTTTCGCTTTGTTTTATTAACTCATCTGGACCTAAGGGGAAACAGACTGAAAATGCTCCCTTTTGCCGGAGTGCTAGAGCACATTGGTGGCATAATGGAAATTCAGCTGGAAGAAAACCCGTGGAATTGTACGTGTGACTTGCTTCCACTAAAAGCCTGGCTGGATACCATCTCTGTCTTCGTGGGTGATATTGTTTGCGAGACCCCTTTTAGACTCCATGGGAAAGACATCACTCAGTTGACGAAACAAGACCTCTGCCCCCGGAAAAGTGACTCGAACCAACGGGCAATGCAGCCGCCTTCAGATTCGCAATACCAGGGTCCGACTCCCACCATAAACCCAGGAGTCACAAAAGCACCAAAGGCCTCCCGAGCCCCTAAAATACGAAACCGTCCTACAACTCGGGTAACAATTTCCAGTAAAGACAAGCAGATATTTGGACCGATAATGGTTTATCAAACGAGGTCACCCGTGCCAATTATTTGTCCAAAAGTCTGCATCTGCACTTCGCAGAATCCAGAGAATGGATTAAACGTAAACTGTCAAGAGAGAAAATTATACAATATATCAGATCTGCACCCAAAACCTTCCTATCCAAAGAAGCTTCATCTCACAGGTAATCATTTACAGACAGTGTACAGAACAGATCTCACTGAATACAGTTCTTTGGAGCTGCTACACTTGGGGAATAACAGGATAGCCACAATTCAGGACGAGGCCTTTGAAAACCTAACTAATTTACGTAGGTTGTATCTTAATGGTAATTACATCGAAAGCCTGTCTCCTTCTCTGTTTGCCGGTCTGCAAAACCTGCAATATTTATACTTAGAGTACAACGTCATAAAAGATATTTTGCCGCAGACCTTTAACGCCCTACAAAACCTTCAGCTTTTGTTTCTTAACAACAATCTGTTAAAGTCTTTGCCCGATAACGTTTTCGGAGGCACCATGCTCACAAGGCTTAACCTTAGAAACAACCACTTCTCCTATCTGCCTGTGAGAGGTGTGCTGGACCAGCTTTCTCCGTTTATTCAGATTGATCTTCAGGAGAACCCATGGGATTGTACTTGTGACATTGTAGCACTGAAACACTGGATGGAACAGTCGAGTACTAGCGTAGTAGTGAACGAAATCACTTGTGATTCCCCTTCTAAACATGCGGGAAAGCTACTGAGATCCCTGCAAAATGATGCAATTTGCCCAGAAAACAATGAGATTAAGGAGACTATGGGGGTGACAGCTATTACGGAGACAGATGCCCCTTATTCTGCTAGTACCCCTACCCAGCCCTTACCAGAGATTCATACCGAGGTACCTTTGTCCGTTCTCATTTTGGGCTTGCTAGTCGTGTTCATTTTGTCAGTCTGTTTCGGTGCGGGTTTGTTCGTTTTCGTTCTAAAAAGACGCAAAGGGGTAGAGAGCGTCCCCACGAGTGCCAACAACTTGGATTTAAACTCGTTCCAAGTCCAGTATGGCTCCTACAACACAGAAACCAGCACAGACAAGACTGAAAGCCATGTGTACAACTATATCCCCCCTCCCGTTGGCCAGATGTGTCAAAACCCCATATACATGCAGAAGGAGGAGGACCAAGTAGCTTACTACAGGAACCTCAAAGAGCTGAGCTACAACAGCCTGGACCATAAAAAGGACGAACATTCCCGCAGTCCAGCATATACAATAAGCACGGTTGAATTCATTGAAAAACAACGCTGCGGAAACAGGGATCCGGAGCTATTGTACCAGAATATAACCGAAAGAGTGAAGGAGCTTCCGACCGCTGGGGTGATAAATTATAATTTTTGCACCTTACCCAAAAGGCCATTTGCGCACCCCTACGAACCGTCGAGGCGTCATAACCAGGACAGGTTCAATAAAACTGTTCTGTACGGAACTCCCAGAAAATATTATGCCGAACAATCAAATAATGAGCATCCTTTGCTTCTCGGAAAACTAAAGACAGAACCGGACTACCTCGAAGTTCTGGAAAAACAAACTGCAATCAGCCAGCTGTAAAATCTGTATACATTTACTCAGTATTTCAATACATACATATATCTATACAGTATATTGCCAACAAACTGTAAGGACAACATGTAAACAACGTGACATTACTTTTTCTTTTCTTCCCCTGCTGTACAAACGAGATTTTTTTAAAAAATATATGCAGTACAAGGTGTTTATTTAACTTTTGTCTAAGTTTTAAATTATTACATACTTGAAAAGTTCTCACGGTAGCAAGAATTGTCGCAAATGTGTGTAATACAGTTTTTCTGTTTTCTTTTTCTCTAAAATGGATCTTGGACTTCTGCTTTCAAATTCCAAACAAAACTGAATTATTTTACAATATCGTGCTGTATATAATATCAGGTATTGTGTGCGCAACACCTTTACCGGTTACATCCGCTTGGCGCCCTATTTTTATTTCCAAGAAGTGCCTTTGCACTTAAAATATGTTAACGTTGCTTTCTGCTGTAAGATGAAGTTTTATATATATATATTACGTATTGTATTTTAAGAATATCGATATGTAAAATAGAATTCTATGTCAATTACATTAAATGAAATTGAAAAGTATTCCTTATGTGAAGAAAAACATTTTTGTGCATTTTACGTGCCTTTTCAGACATTAAATAGAAAACTATACAAATATGATTTTACGGGTTTGCAGTAAGGTTGATCACCACTTATAAGCTTCAAGTGACATTGAATTAAGAAATACTTCTAGGCTGATGTGTTAATATATAATGTTGTTTTCAATAAACTCATATTCATTTAATAACCATATTTGAATTGACATAATTCTAGTATTGTAAATTTGTCAGAAATGTAAACAATTCTTGTGTTCCTATTTTTATATTAGTTATTGCAAATCATAATGACATTTCTATATATTTGTAATTTTTCTCACACTTTAAAAATGGGTGTTCATACAGTACACGCTGTATCACTGTAAAAAGTGTATTCTATGATTTTAAGAGCAAAAAGTATATACAAACACAGCAGTAATACACCACACCTAATTATTTTTTTTAATTCTCTTGTAATCCCTGCAATCTGGTATGTGGCCAAAAGGAAAATTAACAGTTTTGAAAAGAAATGGTTGTGAGAAAACAAAAACAATGCAATATCAGCATTTACTTTCATGATGAATACAGCCTATAACCACTCTTTGTGTGAATGCAGAGAGCACTTTTATTTCATCTGAATATACAAAACAATGTTTCATCTTAACCTTGAATGTTTTGATTTATAATTACAGGTTTTGAATGATGCTGTCTGCCAGAATCCATGCACTTGGTTCTTGGTTCAGTATGTTAGATGCTGAAGTACTGTACAGGCATTGCAAGTTTTGCCATTCTGTGGCATACTGTAGTAACTACTGTTAGACCACATGAACATCAATGCAGAGTTTACACTGATAATCTATTAGAAAATAATGGTAATTGATACTGTTCCAAAGAAACCAAAAAGTTTGTCAAAAGTGTCAGGAGTTAATTCATTAATGTTTTAAAAAGAATATGCATCATACTTCAAATTTGCTATGCTTTGGATATTACAAATCAAGTGTGAAGTCTGTCTGATCTGTCTTTGAGTTTCTTTGGTGGGGTGTGGTGGCATTCTGTAGATATTGGCTGTGTTGGTACTTTTGATTTCCCTATGCTTCGGCTGAGGACAGTAAGTATTGTGTATCATTAAAAAAGATCTAGAAATAACTGGAATTATATTTGTTTCTGTTAAATAACAGAGGCCATAAGACTGCTAGTATTTTCCATACAATGTTATGGAAAAGATCCATACAATTTTGCTTCCAGTAGTTACACCGGTTACCTGAAGGCAAGGAGTTACACTCATAATGTATTTGTAATACAATGTACTCATAATATTTTGGTACAGTATGTCTGACAATACTGTATAACAGCAACAATAATGACAACCCAATGAATATTCTGCAAGGTTCATCCTCTTCTGCTTTACAGAACTAGTCTAAAACCAAGACTGGCATGTGCGTCAGTCCAAGTCCTGCCTCTTTGCTAGAGTGTGCTGTGGAACCTCATCAAAATTCACATTCATACATCAAAACTTAAACCATCCCTATAGAGTAGTGTTACAGATTATTGTTATTATTATTGATCAGCAATATGTGTCAGTGATTGCTAGTGTAAGATGTGACTAGCATGTTGTTGAACACCTCTGTCAGTGATGGTGAGGGACATGAGATGCACATGACCTGCATGCCACCTGTTTGCCTGCTGGAAAAAAGGTTTATACCTGTTAAATCTGTGAAAGTGGTGTGCAATTTCAGTCAATATCTGTGCTATTGTCCTATTAACATGCTATAAAGAGTGATAGGTCATAGAATGCATAACTAGGAAGATGATTACAGCTATAAAGGAGAGCTTATTTTTGGTTCCTAGAAATGTCTTGTCAATGCTAGCTGTTTGTTGTCTACATGTAAATGATTAAGGATTAAGGATTAAAAGCAACCAGGCGTAAAAGTAATGGCATATGTAATTTATTACCAAGAGCATCGCAGTACCAACACTTTGGCATTTCACACTCACTGCTTTTCCGCATCCATTGCTCCAGAACAACTGTGTATACGTTCATTAAGCAAAATGTCAGACAAAACAGACATCCACAGAGCTTCAATCTAATTATCGCCGATGAAGTTATTTATCTAAAAAATAATAAGTTAAAAGTTGTTGCATTTTGATAATTTGATAACCAAGCTAATGCAAGGTACTGAATGCATCTGTAAAATAATTGTATCTTGAAGTGTTATTAGCTTTCTGAGTTTTTGTCAGCAGCAAAACATTTAAAAAGACTGTTTGCCTGCAAAGTACTCTTTGAAGAACTAAGGTTTCTTTTAATCTGAGTGTGCTTATTTTTATTACTTTCTGTCTGTCAGTCTGACACAGTTTGCAACTGTGAACATAAAAAGGTTAGAATTTTGCCTTACAATTCACCAACATGATGTAAGACAGTTATATAAAGAGATGCAGGCAATAGCTGGTCACTTGAGGCTATTTGACATGCAGATAGGCAAATCTGCAGAAAAGAGTGACTCACTGGGCTTTTGTCAGGCATTTGGGGATAGGGGCATAGCTTTGAGCTGTTCTTGCCTGCTTTGTAACCAGTTTCAATATATTTTTGCTTTATTTGTTTTCTCACAGGATTTACGTTTTGTAGATATATGTTAGAAATTCAGGAAGAAAAGATGTGGAATCTAATCAGAGATAATGCATCACTCAGAATAGCATCGATCTTAAGTTACTAAGGCCTAAGGAAAAAAGCTAGAACACCAAAATGTGATTAATCTAAACCTTTTCTAAAATAAGACATTTAGATTTAACTAGAAAAGAGTGCAATCAGATTTAAGGTGATGCAGATAAAGCCTTAATAGTGTTATACAGGTACATTAGGAAAATGCTATGAGCTAAATCTGACACACACACACACACATGCACACACGCACACACACACACGCTACCCTGGGGGACTTCTGCTAAGACAGTGAAGAAGAGACTAGTGTTGAAGTACTGTACCGAGCACAGGATGCTGGGAAGAAAAGTCTGATATTTCTCATTTATAGGGGAAATGCATCTGCTGGCTTATCTTCCTCCCGGATATGTGCTGTAAAACTCAGGAGGCCCATTTATTACATTCCTGCCCATTGGCCCTGTATCTGTCCCGACTCTGTATCTGTCTGTAACCTGTTCTTTAAAGATGATTCTTATATTCATAGTTTTCCAGTTTCATACATTTTTTTCATCTATAGGAAATGTATGATGTGTATCGTAGCTTATCTTGTGTTGGGAAAGAGCCTTCTTCTGAGGAGTTCCTGGGGTTTTGGTTCAATTACCTTTTGAAGTTGCACACTTGCTGGTTTTGTAATATTACATAAAAATATTCATTTTTGAATAAAAATGGTAAAGGACAACATAAGATAAAGCCAATGGTTTGCAGCATCCTTGATGAGTGTGTTTGTTTCTTTACAGTAAGATGTCCCCAGGCAGTGCATTACACAGCACAATTAGAGCATTCTATGCAGCTCACAAGATACATTTCTTCTATATTACATGCCATTCAAACAACACCACCCATGTAGATAGTAAACCATTTGAATTTGCGGCTGAATTATTAGAAGATAAATGGGTAAATGGATGAATAGGTTTTCTTTCATGTGGAACTTTTCATCCACAGGGAATCCCCAAATGCTTTTCAATAATGCCCAGCCAAGCAACCAATTATCTTATGATAGAATAAGACTATTTTTTGCATCTGATCGATTAATCTTGCCCTTACATAGATCTCAAAATTTGCCAGAAGTGTTTTCAGCCTTTTATTATACTATTTTATTTGTGCCGGGTTTTTAAAGAAAAAGGAAATGTAAGGGCTCACAGCTTTTACTCCCATGATTAATTCACATCAATACAGTTCATACAGTTTTTTTTTATCATTTCACTTATGTTTAGAAATAAAAACTGATAAACTTGTGTCCAACTGACCAAACTCAATTAAGAATATGGAAGAACAAAATTGATTTTTCAGGTTACAAATCCGTTGCTCTAAGATGAGGGAGGAGAGAACAGTTGATCCTATTGAAATGTGTCTCAGCAAGCTGTACACAGAAGAGCTGCACCTGCAGACCTGTGATGTAAGATATTCAGCTGCTCTGCGGTGTCAGAGTTTTCTGCTGTTTTAAATTCGTGAAGAATCTCACGCTGTTTCCCTTTCTTTACTTTTCACAAAGGCCTGAAAAGGGTGCTTTCTTCTGTTCATTCTCTTGGCATCAGAGTGCCAGTCACTAGCCTCAAAGAAACATTACACATGGTGAAGTCGAGGACCGTGGCTGTCACGATCCTACATAGATCACTGTTCTAATGTGGAGCCCAAATATTACATCATTCACCCCCTACAACTTTTTGCAAAGATTAAGGAAGATCATTCTTGGAGAAATGACTTAATTGTTTTTTACCATATGTTTTCATTTAATGAAAATGTACAAAACTGTAGAAAGATTTTTTCCAGTTTGCTGAAAAGTCTACACTCATACATATCTGTGAACTCCTTTTAAACTAGATATATTTTATTTTTCTATCTTCATCTTGGTTACTAGGTTGAGGGATTTTTTAAAAAGATTCAACTAAAATATTATATAATTGTTACAAAAAGATGATTTAATGTTTTTTGTACTGTTTTTACTTATTTCTCTTTTGAAAACTCTGCTTCAGTTTGTATACCAAGTTTATGAGCAACAGCCGAGTTTACTGTATGTTTATAATGCCCTTTTCTTTTCTTATAAATTTTGTCTCTTTTTTTATCTATTTTCAGAAAAAGGGAAGTGCTATCCATGGTCTTATTTACAGAAATGTATATAATGAGAAGCTCAATATGTAAAGCTTTATCTGATAAAGTGCAGTGCTTTAATAAATATTTTTTTTACTTTACAGATGTTAAAGCATTTTAGGAATTAAGATGAATTAAATGAACAACAGATGGGTTGAAACTGAGAAAATGTCATGGAATAATAAGTTTCTGTGGTCCATTCTGAAATAAGCACAGTGAGAATATGATATACGGATTTTGTATCCATATGTTTCAAAACAAAGCCTAGTTATTTCTTCCACAAATGAATACTTTACACAAAGGGTTGTGAGAGTATAGAATAAGCAATCAAGGTCTTTAAAGCTGATACAATCACTTATTTTATGATATAACATGGGTTGGTTGATGAGGTTCTCCTATCTGTTACCTGCTAGTAACAAAAAGGAACTGGAT